CGTGATCGGAGCCTGGCTGCGGCGTGATCCCGAGGGGCGGGAGGCGGCACGTGTTTTGGTCTGGGCTAGAGGCGGGGCGTGAGGCCTGGAAAGTAGGGGAAAGGTCCCGGCGGCGGTGCGGCGGCAGTCGGCTGTAGCCGTGTCCTTTCCAAGCGGAGGGGCTGCTCGCCGAGATCGAGCGCTGACCCCACACAGTGGACGGGTCTGGTAGGCGGGACTCATGGGGACGCTCTCTCTAATTTCTTTTAAGCCGTCCCTGGCTCCCTGGACCGCACCTTTACCCAGGAAGAGGTTTGAAAGCTGCCTGGGTTTAGGGAGGTTCCTGCCTCCGCTCCTTCCTGCAGGGCGCCAGATCTGAAGCTTCTGGGTCTGGCCTTCCACTGCTCTGATCTGCAGTTGGTTGCAAAGGAAACACCAACCGTGTAGTCAGCCACCTGGCATATGCCTAATGAGACGTAGGCGTCCTTCTCAGTGTCCATACAAAGGCCTAAAGCCGGGGCACCCTTTTTCCTCCGTGGGTCTCTAGGTGAGGTTATCCATTTACACGACTCACAATCTTGGAGAGCAGGGGTCGTACATGCAGAGTGTGTGTGTGTGTGTGTGTGTGTGTGTCCCAACCTACAATGTAGCAATAGGACACCCCTCCAGTAGTCGTCAGAGGCCTCACTGCAGAGCCTGGATCTCGGTGGCAGGTATGGAAAAGTCATAGCTGCTATCAGTGGACTGGAACCGGGCACTATGCCGCCTGTCCTCACACAGGTGGGCAGGCAGAGCCCTGTACTTAAACTGGTAATGCCCAAGGTTCACCCCCGCCCTGATTCCTGGCAGTTTCACACTGGCTTGACAGTGGGATTAAGCAGGCCAAAGAGAAGGAATGTGTTGACAGTTAACAGTAAAAGCCTTTAAAGAGGAATTCACCTTGTTTAACTGCCTGGAAGTTGGACATACATGGAGTTAGTCTTCCACTAAGACTTGTTGAATTGTTTTGCCTGCTGCCCCCATTGGCTTTCTGACTCCCCCGTGTCCACCCCTGCCTACTTCGCCTCCCCACCGTCTTGTCACACCCCCCCCTCCGCTCCCGCCCCCATGCCCCAGGCATCTTTAAATTTTGCAGTGGCTCCCACAGTGCTTGCGATAATGACGTCCCCCCTCCCCCCAGCCACAGTGACCTGCCCTCAGCTCTCACTGTCGGCTCCCACTCATGGTTGGCTATGTTTCTTGTTTTGGGAAATAATCTCCAGAATCAAATGTTAATTGTGTTTGGAGATGGGGCCTTTGGAAGATGATTGGGATTAAGGAAGGTCGTGAGGTTTTATACAGAGACTAGCTGGCTTGCTCACTCTATCTGACCATGTGACACTCCATGGCATCTTGATACAGCAGGAAGACCCCCCCCTCCCCGTCAGGTGTTGCGCAGAACTAGGGCTCTTGGGCTCAGAACTGGGAGCCAAACGCACTTTCATATAGGAGGTTATAGGAGGTGGGGAGGTGGGTCAGTTGGTAAAGAGCTTGCAGTGCAGGCCTGAAGACCTGAGGTTGGTCCCCAGAACCCACATGAGAAGCTCGGTGTGCTGGTGCACACTTTTAATCCCAGTCCTGGGGAGGGACAGGGGGTGGAACGCTGGGCTTCACTGGCCAATCATTCTAGCCCAGTCAGTGAGCCCCACATCCCAATGAGATACTCTGTCTTAAAATCAGGTGGGTGGCTCCTAAGGAATGACACTTGAGGCTGACCTCTGGTCTCTTTTTGGAGACACACACACACACACACACACAGCACAACACACTATATAAGCTTCCTGGTCTCAGGTGGTTTGTTTTCACAGAAAAATAAACTAAGACATGGGTCAAGGCCTCCTCTGGGTCACCTGTCACATCAACTGCTGTCTCCGGCTTGGCATGTGGCATTTACTTGCTGTATCCTGTGACTTTACTGGCACATCTCCCCAGGAAGCCTTTTCCAGCAAACCTGTGAACTCAAGCTGACCTCCTGCCCTCATGCTGTCTCCACCTTAACTCCCATAGGGCTCTGCATGGTCTATAGCCTTTCTGTTTCTCTGTGTACTGTCTGTCTCTCCTGGGACAGGGAGCTTGGCTGATTTATCCATGTTGGCACATGGTAACTGTTGATTTAATGAATCAACATTAAACCAACCTTGTCAACCCTGCCGGTTTCTGTTCTGGAGCACCCCACAGGTGCTCTCATCAAACATCCTTGGGAGTGAACTTCTGTTCACTCAACTTTGACGTCCTCACTCAAGCAGGGTACCCCTGGATACCCTGCCCCTTGACTCTTGCAATGTGACTCACCTTCAGTTCCTTTCTGCTCTCACCAATGACATCATTGTTTCTTCTAAAATATGGTATCAGCTCTTGTCACTCACCCCTCCCCTGATCTGGGCTACTACACAGACACACCTGAATGACTGTCACCACTTCCCAGCGAGTCTCCCTAGGAAAGCTGACACTGACATCTGCCTCTCACCACTGGAAGGATTTTCCAAAAGTGGACAGTGTATCAGACCCACACTCAAAGCCCCAGCTGGAATCCAGACACTCAGATTTACCCAGGAATCCCTGACTCTTCTGGACCCAATGCCAGCCCGCATGACCCTCCCATATCTCCTCTCTGCTTCTCACATTGCTCCCAACCGTTTGCCTTTCCTCCCCGTGTTTCCATACAGAGCCCTAGGCTCTGGTGTTAGGTCC